AAAATATAACATAGAAAAATAATCATTCATTAAAGAAAAACTTAAATATCCAAAATAAACTCCTACCAAATAGGATTAGTTCATGGTGGAGTTCGAAATAAGCAAGCACAAAGCAAGTTAATCCGTTCCTTACAACCCAAATAATAAATAACGAAAGCAAAGAGCAAAGGGAATGAGGAAAAGCCTTCGACGTGCACTGTCGGAGCTTCCCTCGGCCACCACTAATAGTCCTAGCGATCTAGCTCCTCTCGGATGCCTAGTTCGCCACTCCCTATAGCCTGTCAACGGAGGAATGCCACGGCAAAAACAATTGACGAAAATAGAGGGAAATTTTTCTCTGAATTTTTAGGCTCTTGGCGGCTGTCTAAAAATCTCCAAGTTTCCTCAAAAAGTCAGGCTTCATCTTCTATTTATAGGGGAGAAAGAACCTAGGGTTTTGTGTTAAAATTACACTAGCACCCTAAAGTTCATTCCTTTTATGTGAGAGTCGGTGCAAAGATGGTAACTGGCCCCTCCATTATAGCTGATTGCAGAAAGCACATTTTACGTCATGACAGCTGACTCTTACTAAAAATATTCTTCTTTCGTTTTGATCGCTCTCAAAATGCCAACTGGTTTGGCATTTGCATTCTGCTCAACAGTCTCCTTATGTCATGGCATTTCCCTTTTGTTTTTCCTTGCTCCCAAATCTTGCACATCACCAGAAAAACACCTTCCCCATAAAGTAGCACTGATTACAAAATAAAATGCCGCGGCAAATAGAATTTCACCACAAGCAACTATATGCTCCTAAATGCATCTATATGATCCTATATGAGCTCTAAGACAGTCAATAACTTAAGTGAAAAGGTCTCAAATATGACCTTTTTACGCAGTTATCAGACAACACATTTAAATTTATAAAAATATGACAAATATGACAACATATCCAAATTTATACAAGATGACTATAATTTCCTTACAAAAGATAACAATATCATGATAGATGCATGTTAAGTTTACTTACAAAAAATGATATCAACAAGTTAAGTTTACTTACAAAAGATTGCAACATGTCCAAGTTTACAAAAGATGGGAGTTGCATGTCCAAATTCACAAAAAATGACAGCAATATGCCCAAGTTTCCATACATAGCACCTATCAAAAAAAGTAAAAGACAATAAATAATAATAAATTATTCTATAAAAAAGCATGAAATCATTATAAATATGGAGTAAAAAAATATAAGATTAACAAATTCAAATATTAAACCTTTTAATTTGTCACATTATCGATTATTTCGAAGGTATTGATATAATAATTTCTTTTGGTTGTTTGTCATCATTCTACAATAATTTAAAAACTCAAATAAGTCTAGATATATTTAAAAAAGTAAACAAACTTTGTTATAAGAAAATACATTTACCTTATTCTTTCTTTTCACTCCACGAAGGGATCTACACCAATCACCTGTACACATAAACATTTGAATTATTTCTGGAGAAAGGGGAGACCTATAAGGATCTATTACACGACTTCCAGCACTAAATGTGACCTCAGAAGCCATAGTAGTAATAGGAATAACCAATACATTTATTGTCATTCTAGATAAAATGCGAAATTTGTTTGACTTCTCTTTCCACCAAGTAATGACATCAAATTTCACATCTTGACTAAAGATGCACCCCTCATCCAAATATGAATCAAGTTCAGACTTCATACGCGATACATATGTTTCTCCACTAAAAACGTCTTGCAAAAGCTCATACAAACCACTAGATGTAACATCACCTCCATGAACATCCATAGGAAATGTATGTTCTTTACTTTCTTCCACATTGCAAGATGAAGAATACATAGTCAAATATTAATCAAAAAGTTGATACATGACCTTGACCTTATTAATGTTCTCCCTAACTAAATGTGATGGAAATATTTTGGGAAATGCAATTTCTACCGCCCTCATTTTCAATCTAGGATCCAATACTGAACTTATTGCCATTAACAAATTGCATTCACCCTAATACTTGTGAAATCTCTCTTTCATGTTATCAACCATATTATTAAAAAAATTATCAGAAGACTCAAATTTTGAATCAAACAACAATTTAATTATTTGCACCTCTCCAAGAAACATGTTAGAAGTTGGATATTCAGAGCATGATATAATGTTAACAGTTGTTTTAAACACTTTCAAAATTTCAAGCAGTTTTTCAATTTCTCCCCACTCATCGTCATCAATACAATGCTTATAAGAATGATCATGCAAAGCATATCTAGGGAATACCTTTCTGAACTTGATAGCACAATCCAACAAGTCATATGTAGAATATCAACGTGTCTTCCATTCAAGAATCAATTTTCGATCTTGCACATTATATTGACTAACAAGTTCACCAAATCATTTGAGTCGCGATCTTGTATCACTTGCACATTGTATTACACAAGCTTTAAGCATATATCCTAAGGTCTACAAAAGATTGAAAATGAGTTGAAATTTGAATTGATTGAGAAATTTGAAGTCAACCTACATAAAAATTTACCTGAATAACTTTTTCGAATTATCTATTTGTTTGAGGATGGAAGATTGTACTAAGATGTACTTGTGCTCTTAAAGTTTCTTGTAGGGATTTTAACACGCAAATCGAGGATTCTAATTATAAATAATAAAGATAGAAACACCATGAAGTATTATTGTTTCTGAGTTATACAACTCTCTAGTTTCTTTAAGCTATAATTCATTCGAACATGAAAAAAAAGGTGAGTTTTATTCGTGAAAGGTCATCAATCACCTAAATTGAGTCATGCTTTTTAGAGAATAATGACAATTGACACACAGAATCCATTGTGATTTAAGGCTCTTTTATGACCAATAAATAAGTAACAAATTTCATCATAAAGATAATGTCTCAAAATCTTTAAGGAAAAAACAATAACTGTCAATTTAAGATAATAGTCCAGGTAATTAAGCTCATGTGACTTGAGTTATCGTGAAGCAAAGTTACGAACTCACCTTCTTGCATTAATACACAACCTAGTCCCTAGTGGGAGGCATTACTAACACAATATAATATTTTTCACAATTATATTGAGTTAGAATTTGAGCACGAATCAAACAATTTTGGTAGTAAAAGAATTGTTATTATTCCTTGAGGTCTTAGGTTTGAGCATCATGAATGTCAGAGTATGAATATTCAATGTCAAATAGTTGAGAATTACTAGAAATCTTCTTACCTACATTATTTATAGATTTTCAATCTAAGATTGCTTGATTTTTCTTTAAATAAACTTGAAACCCAATCGAGGATATATCTAGGCATTTTACTATAAGAATTTAATAGAGTTTTTTTTTGTAACTTTCATTAATTAAGTAATCAATTTATAACATCTTATAGTCGGATGACCCATATAACACACATCTACTATAGTCGACGTACTATAAGCATAGTTTACCCATATTTATAGGATAAATTACATCAATGGTCACTAAACTTTTAGTTGGTTTTCGTTTTCTCCACTGAACTTTCAAAAGTTACAAGTTGGTCATTAACGTTATCTATTTGTAACAAAATGGTCCCTCGATGTTAATCGAAGTTAATTTCTGCGATGAAAAACTGAGCTGGACCGTTAAATGCTTATCTGGACGTTGATTGCCATGCTGGAAAGTCAAGTGTCTTGCACGGTCAACTTTTCAACTCCCCTCTTCATCTTTAAATATAAAAACACAATCCATAAACTTAAATTACCTCTTCAACTTTCCTCTGAAAAATTTACTAAGGAGAAACACAAGAAGGAGAAGGGATATTCCCCTTTGTAACTGTGGACAGCCAGCTAAGGTTCCACTTTCCATGGTGTTTGTGTGCTAACACGCTCTGCAAGTGCTGGGACACCGGAACCAAGCCCATGAAACATGGCTAGAAACAACGATAAATGGAAATTCGAAATTCTCTTCATGAAGGGAACACTCTGTGTCCTATCTAGACGATCCTTAAGAATCCTCATCGTCACCAGGTTATTCCGATTCTCGATGGGAAAGGTTGATGAAAGAGGTCCCTGCATTCAAACCAACCATTCAATTGACTAAACTCTCAAGTGAATTTGCAGAAAATCAAAACCATAGCCTGTACTTAACCAGCTCAACCTAAGAAACGAAATATAAGCTATACTAATCGACTAACCAAATGTCTCCAGGATCATTTCACAGTCACCTCTCAAACTGTTATAAATTGAATTTGGCTTTCCATTAGTTGTATATGATACTCTCTTTTTTCATATACAGAAATTATCTGTGTCAAAAAAAGCCAGTTGATAATATTTTTGTATGGCTTCTTCTAAGTTCTACCCCTCCACACATTCCTTTATACCACAGGTTAAAATATTAATATCCAGCATTGTTAGCTTAGTTGAATCAGTAGCATCCCCAGTTCATTCCATCCCATGGGAGAAGGATCAATAAAAAAAACAGCATTTTTTGGTCATTTTCTTCCCATAATTTCGGTAACCAAAGAACCTTTACCCACAGTTTTCGTTCGCCCAGGTAGTGATCACCTTAGCTGAGTGTCCACAGTTACAATAGGGGAATATCCATGGAGTCTTCCATCTTCTCCTTCTTGTGTTTTCTGGTAGTAATTCTTTGGGAGGAAAGTTGAAGATGTAGTTTAGGTTTTTATATTTAAAGATGAAGAAGAAAGTTGAAGAGTTGACCGTGCAAGACACTTGGCTTTCCAACGTGGCATTCAACGTCCCGGTAAGCATTTAACGGTCCAGTTCAGTTTTTTTTTTTTTTTTTTTGTCGCCGAAGTTTACCTCTAAGTCATTTTGTTACAAATCAATAATTTTAATAATTAATTTATAAAATTTTGAAAGTTTAGTAGGAAAAAGAAAATTTACTCAAAGCTTAGTAGTTCACCCATATATATATATTTCGTTTTTTAACAACCACCACATTTGACAAAGTTTTTCTTCATCTTCAAAAACCAATGCCCTTTTTCTTTACTCATCGCAAGGGCCTTTTTTATTCGAAGCTCTATTGTCTATTCTCACAATTTATCATCTCTCATAAGCTTTAGGGATTTTGTTATTTGCTTTTGGAAAAATTCATTAATTCAGGAAGAAAAACTCAGCCCAGATCGCTTTTCTTATAATTTTTGGAGATCTATGGAGCAGCTTGTTAACTTTATAATACGTCCTCCCAGGTAGCAATCTCTCCATCTTAAATTTATTTTTCTGGGAAAAATTGATCTTTTACCACCTTCTATATTGAATTTAAAATATGGGTTCGGTTTATGATATGTTCTGTTTGGGAGATGAAGGAAATTGAGGATGAAAATTGGCATTTGAAAATTTGTGTTTTTGGTTTTTAGCCAACAGGAAAAGAAAACCCTTTGCTTTATACGGCTGGAATTTGATAATTTACGTAACTTCTTGGTTCACTACGATCCTTTCATAATTTTGGAGCATCTCTGAATAATTGTGATAGTTTTCTTTATTTCTCATGTTTTGTATTTTATTTGGTTAATTTTCTTAGTTTTATATAATTTATTTTCTTCTGCATACATACATATACGTGTGTGTATATATTGTTGTTTTGGGAGCTGTGGCTATTTATTTTTAAAACTTTTCACGGGTTTGGCATTACTAAGGCTTTATACTTTATTGTATTTCATATAGTTCTAAAAGCTTTAGCATTTTCTGATTTGTTTAGTTTTGATAGGAGTCTTAGGAAGAAAAAAAATGAAAATTATAGTTTGATCAACTTATCTGTGGAATTAAGACTATAATCGATAAGATTAAATCTTTATGAATGTAAAGTTATAGCCAGATAATCGGGAGCCATAAGTCACATGGCTTGAAGTATGTTGTTGTAATGCTGTTATACACTGAAGATGGTTTATAATCAGCAGACTTATGAAAAGGACCCCGAGATCCTTTCATGAAATATTAAACAAGAAAGGGAAATGAATCGGAGATAGTCAAAAACCTTTTGGGTGAAATGTTTGGGACATCATTAATTTAAGACTGCAAATTATTTTTCTCAATTTCTAATGGCATCATTTTTTTTTTACGGCAGAGCTGAATACAATCCAGAAAGTGATCTTTTAGATGAAGAGTTTATGTTGAAAGGGAAATGGTACCAAAGGAAGGATATAGAGGTACGTTTTAAGGGTAAATTTTAGATTTATTTTGCTTCCTAAAATTCCTAACTTCCTGGTTTTTTCAAACCTTTTTATGATGTTAATATGTCCATTTCCCTTTTCCTTCAATTAAATAACTATCTTAGCAGAAAAGTAGTAGCACAGTAGATACAACTACATTGCATTGCCATCAACTCATTCATATTATTGGTAAACTAAAATCAGTTAGTTAGGTGCGCCTTGCTATTATACCTCTTTGCTTTCTCTTTTCCTTTGACAGGAAACATTACAGAGAAAGGCCATTTGTTTTTTAACTTTGTAAACAGTACAGACAGGGGCCATTTGTTTTAAGCTTTTGTTTGACTTAATTTATAGTTTTGAATAATTTCCTTATCAGCACTTGGCCACCATTGTGCTGCTGGCATGTGCTTTATGAGACAGAGGCATCATTGAAGATTGAGACTTTTAAAAATTTGAATTGCCAGCCATTCTTTTGCATATCTGACTAGACGATACTTTATTTATTTGTTATGATCTCTTATTATTTGGATAAATTTAAATTGGTATGCATCATAAACATGTGTTTTGGTCATTTTGCAGGTTAAAAATGGAAGAGGAGATGTTCTACAATGTAGTCATTATGTACCCGTGGTTAGTCCTGGAGGAAAACCTCTTCCATGTGTGATATACTGCCATGGAAACAGGTGACAGAAGTTTTATTGTTTCCTTGGAAACTACGGGCATTATTAAATAATTATTTGTGGGAGAAGAAAAAAGGAAAATTAAGATTTTGCGCTCAGATAAAAAGGGCCTTTCAATCCAACTTGCTTGTATCAAATATCAATCAACACTAACCTTGTAATAGCATTGGTTTTTCTGGATATGAATTTATCTGGATAAAAACTCTTATTTACATTTTATTTCTGTTTCTCTTTCTTATAGGGTCTGTTAACTTGTACTATGGATTATGAGATTGTAGTTTATAGCTGCTATAACTGTTTGTTAGGCTATTGATTTTTCTAGCTTTATTTTGTTATGCTTCGCTTTGTATCATTTAAACCACCAGTATCAATAGAGAGAGTTGGTTCTTTTATTTGAAATTTATTCCGTACATCTTACTGTTTGCAAACTAGCATTTGTCACGATATGTAAGCTAAGCATCAAATACTACTAGATTGATAGAAATAAAGGAACTAATACATTTGAATGAAGGTTATTGTAGTTGGGATGTAGACATTAGAATCAAATTAGTGGCATCCGCTAGTATTATATTTGGACAGATGATTTCTTATTTTCATTTACTTTAAATTAAATAATTGGTACACAGCAATATCAGAGCATCAGTCCTGCTGACAGATTGCTGAATGACATTAAAAATTTCCTATTCTTGAACATTCAGAAGCAAGTTGGGATGACATAGCTGAGATTCTGTGAAAAATATAAGATAATTTTGCAAAAATTGTTGGAATTGGGTTGTCTTTGTTTCAGATATCAGCTGCTTTAGTATTTTGTATTTCTGATGGATTGTGTTAGGTTTCTATGGCTAGTTTCTGTAGTATCCAATTGTTTCTTATTTTCAGATATAATATATATGTATTTCCTTTTGTTACATCTTCTATCCTGACTGCCAACTGACTAAAATGTTGTACATTTTTTCTTGAATTTTTTAGTTATTATTACTATTGTTTACCATGCTGTAGACAGCAGTGCTGACTGCTAGCATCTTTTAATTTTGTGCAGTGGCTGCAGGGCAGATGCTAGTGAAGCTGCTATAATGTTGCTGCCTTCAAATATTACTGTTTTTACTCTTGATTTTTCAGGATCTGGGTTATCTGGAGGAGAGCATGTCACCTTGGGTTGGAATGAAGTGAGTGGTTAACTAGCTACTTCAACAAAATCTAGAATTTCCTATTCTCGTTTTTCTTATGGATGCAGGAAATGCTTTCTCTCGTATTTGATTAATATTTTTTAGTAGTTTTTTGCATACAAACCAGTATACAATCTTTGCTGGATGTGAACTTCTAATAGTGTGTCTCTGCAAATTGGTTATATTAATTGTTGTTTTTTCTTTTGGGTTATTTGGGGTATTCTTACTTTATACATGTGTTCTATAGTGACTATGGATTTCTTCTTGGAAAATTCTTATTTTGGTGCAAGTACTTGGGGTTTTTAGACATGCATTGTATATCGATTATTCTCATCAATATTGACCACTGCTTGAGCAAAGTAGGGCGCGTGAATTTGCAATCTTCTAAGTAAACCGAATTAAAGAGGCTAAAATAGCCCTTCTCTCACTTCAGTCCTAGGCATTAATTTAATTATTATTAATTCACATTTGAAAGTTTGGATAAATAACACTCCCCATATATTTCTAAAAAATAAACGTGAAATATTTTTTCTTCAACTTTGAAAACATTGATATCTGTGAATTTATATGTAGAAGAAACATGAATTAAATTGTATACCAAGAGAAAAATAGGTGAAATTCATCTTAACAAGAACATTTAAGGCAGTAAAAAGTTAGTTTCAAGTATGCATTTGGTAAGATTAAAAATCATATGGATGATAGTTGGATATTTTTTCTGATGACGAGCTTGCATGTCATAAAATTTCTGCTGAAATTATTTTCCCATTTTCCAGAAGGATGATCTGAAAGCTGTAGTTGATTATTTGCGGGCAGATGGAAATGTCTCTTTGATTGGCTTTTGGGGCCGCTCAATGGGTGCTGTTACCAGGTTTTCTACAGCCCTTGCCATCTTCCTTTCTGTTCTAAAGTTTTGAGCGTGGAAGCACGTCTCACAATTGCCATCTCATTAACTTCAATGAATTTATTGAGTTTTATTTAAAGCTCTACTGCCTGAACTTCTCAATTATTTATTAAAAACTTTGGTTTAAGTTTGCTGTTTTTCCTCACACGCTCATATAATTTAATGTTTTTATTCGACCTATTATAGATGATGGGTTTCTAACATCAAGGATGTAAATGATTGTTCACAGCCTATTGTATGGAGCTGAGGATCCGTCAATTGCAGGAATGGTTCTTGACAGTCCTTTCTCTGACTTGGTCGATCTGATGTTGGAACTAGTTGATACGTATAAATTCCGTTTGCCCAAGTTCACCGTAAGTAGACAATTTGTATTAATTATTATATATTTTGTTGGTTTTAGTTGTTTTTGTCTTTGTGGGTAACTAATTAGCCACTGAGAGGATATATTATTGGTGGTCAAGATTATATAGTAAATTTGGTGTTGGCAACTATTGTAAGGAATGTTGATCTTATATCCAATATAAGATAAATAAAAAAATTGTAGTTTTAGATTGTAGTTGTTCATGCACACATTCTAACAGCCACATCCAACAATTAAAATGTTTTCTTTCTAATAAGTAGTCAAGCATTACTATGAGCTGAAGGAAAGATTTTAAGGGCAATGATATAAAATTGAAATACAACATATGCTGCAAGTAAAATATGTTTAAGTTGATTATGTTGATAGGTTATCTTGCTGTTGAAGTCGAGTTATCGATCTTCGTGTTGAGGTTCTATTGTTGCTTCAAAGCCTGATTTATCTTGTTTAACTGCTTATCAGGGTTTTCAGTTTTTTTGTATAAGAACCTTGAGTTGAGATAATTGCTTATGTTGTCCTATGACCCTATACTTTCATTTGCTTTCTCCAGGTTAAGTTTGCAATCCAGTTCATGCGAAAATCTATACAGAAAAAGGCGAAATTTGACATAGCAGACCTGAACACCATCAAGGTTCTAGTCTGGAGATTATTTACTTTTCTATGTTGATCTACATACTCATGTTTCTTGTTTTGCACGATGCAGAAATTTTTCCTGATATTGTCGCATTAATATCTTTTGTCAAGGAGAAATGGAAAAAAATGGAAAGATGCAAAATTGGAAGTGGAGGAAAGTGGGGGGATAGAGATGATGATTTTTTATTGCCACTGGTGTGCTTTAGAAAAAACAGACAATTGGATTAAGAAAATGATTCTTTCCATTCATTTCTTAGTAGAGCTGAGAAGTGAAGGAAAGAAAATAAAAATTACATCTTTTTATATGAGTATACCCTTTGCAAGAGGAGATAGAAAGATTGATAGTATTGTAAATTTCTAACACTGGATTCATTCTTCTCATTTTCTCTCCTCCATTGTTTTCAATATGAACTGATTAGTTTTGATGAATAAGGATAGAAAATGACCATAACTTCTTTTTCATTCGTTGTACTTTTCTCTCTTTACCTAGCACTATTGAAAACCATTTTGTTTCCACTTTTCCACCCATCCCTTGCAATCCTCACACTTATCCATTCTACCACGTAAAGTCCCAATGTTTTGCTTAACATTTTTCTTTATATTCAAATTGATCTAAACAATTTTGTCCTGTCACCATTTCATTTTGTTCTAGTTATTGTCTGATCAACTTGTAAGTGAACCTGAAAGATAAATTGATTGTTTGCTTATGATTGGAAATTGAATGATACACTGTTTTAACTTGTAAATGCCTTTATTTTTACACTTATGCATATAAGTGAATTCAATTACCTTCATTTTAATCTAGGTGGCAAAATCTTGCTTTGTTCCAGCACTGTTTGGGCATGCTATTGGTGATGATTTTATACAACCTCATCATTCAGATCGGATAGTTGAAGCTTACATGGTAAGTTGTTTATTCTTTTTCGGGCAAAGGACCTCTCAAATTTCATTGTGCTTGATTAAACATGGTTTTCTGTCATCTACATTCATTTGCATTTTCGGGCAATGCCGTCTACCTCACTACTTTTGCAGGGTGATAAGAATATTATCAAATTCGAGGGAGATCATAACTCTCCTCGTCCTCAGTTTTACTTTGATTCCATAAATATCTTTTTTCACAATGTCCTGCAACCTCCTGAGGATGAGGCAGGTGCAACTTTTTATGACTTTGGCAAGGTAAGAACTGCTCTAAAAATATCTATGGTGGTAGTCGTTTTATTACGAGTCCCAGACGTCATACCCACAACTCTTCGTTTATTCATAACTGATTTACATTCAGGCTAGTTGGGCCGTCCCTGAAGTTGGCTTTTTTCCAGATTCTTCAGCCGCATCTAAAGGTACCACTTGTACCTTGTGTTTCTTCTCTCAACCAAGGTGCTACTCCTGTTAATTGTATTATCTTACACTGTCTTACTGGTTTCCAGCCACTAGCAGCACATTGGATGCCATTAAACAAGTTCGTTCTAAAAGACCCATGAGTCGAACAGAGGTTAGTTCTAATTGCTTCTTTTTTTTTCGTTTTCCAAGAATGACTTGTAAATATTTTCTTCAAACATACATCTTAAATTGACTGGAAAGAAATATAATGAATTCAAAATCATTGTAAACAGTTCTTTCCTTCCATTGTTGTTTTTCGTTTATAATATAAATTTAAAAGGAAATGCAAGGTTAATATTATTGTTGATTTTTTTTATTAATTGTGTCTAACATTTGCAGCTTTGATTATACTCAGGTTCCTTCTGATATACCATCTGAAGAAAATAACCCTGGATGTCAGGTATTTTTCTCTGCTTTTGACTCTGTGGAATGCATAGCGAAAAAAAATTTGTTGCCGAATTTTACAAATGGATGCCGTACGAAAGCACTTGTAATTGACAGTGGCACTAGGATTTTAAAAAAATTTGACACATTGGTGTGGAAGATAAAGGTGTTCCGTGTTACTGATACTAAATAGTATTTACTGCAGAATAAAAATACTGATGATGATAGTGGTTCGTCGCCATCCAATATGATAAGTTTTGAATTATCCAGCGGTCATCCATTTGGCCCTCATGTGCCAACAACAATGGATGATGATCAGTTTGTGGAATATCGGCTGGATGACTTCACAGGCTTTCCATGTAATGTGGAGGAAGAAGAGAGGGTGAGTTGAAACAATCATCTTTCACTTTGTGCAGAACTATTCGTGGCTATTTAATTGACCCTAATCCTTTGTAAATTTCCTTGATGGGTTCAGATGTTAATGGAAGCCATAATTGAGTCCTTAAAAGACTTAGATATGCCACATCCTCAGACGGAAGAGCAACCCAAGACTTGTGCTGATTCTTCAGAGTCTTTAAGGAAAGATGAAATAAATGGAAAGGATGCTTGTTCGACCGTAGAAAAGGGCAGTTCCGTGCCCCTGGAGTCCACGTCCACCCGAGTGGAACATCATCAATCCACCTTAGTAGTCGATGGCTCCGATGTCGGCATCAAGCCAGCATCCCCTGATACTAGCGTCTCATCTTCGGGACATGCATTTGATACACCTCCATTGACGGAGGAATCAGGGAGCACAAGTAGTGATACCTCAGCAAGTACCCAGAATTCATCTGAACCGGTCGTGTCAGGTAGTACAAAAGCCGCTGTAACAGTGGTACGGAACCCCTCTAATAACATCATGGATGGTTTGAAGCATCGCTGGGATCTCAACTTCTTTCGAAACAGTCGATGAAAGTTGAGATGACATTGTATGAATAGCCTGTTGATTGCATTATTCTTGTAACTAACTAGTATGTAATTTGTAGTTCTGTAAGAATAAGAAATTTGGGTTTTGTTGTCATTGGCTTTCATTGTCTATTGTTTTTGGTGGAAAAAGATGATCTTTTGCACAATTAGGGATTGTATGGCAATACATGTTACCATAAATTCTTTGCTCTGCTCTGTATGTTATACGGTAAATAATACAATTGCTTAAAGGGAGTTGGTAGTCAATTTCCTTTTTACAGATAAGTACTCGTTTTTACAGTTCTGAAATGACTGGCGATTAGGTTGGAAAGATACTTGTTAGAAATTTTGGCGTAATATAAAAAAATATTTATAATGTTCAATTAAATAGTTATTTTCGTCCATATTATTTTTTGGATTAATATAAAATAATCATCTAAATTATATTTAAAGTTAACTTTTGATGCTTAAAGGCTTTTTCGTTAAAAATTTGTGTCTAATGTTTTCTCTGTTATACTTTTAAGTATATACCGTTAAAAAATATTAAATGACATGTTACGTTTAAATTTTTTTAAATATATTTTTAAATAATATTTTATTTTTAATTTAAAAAAACATATTGATAAAAAAAGACATATTTTAGAGCGTTGATTGTTTGTTGAATAGTAGTTTTTATTCAAGAAATGATCTTTTTGTCTCAAAATAAAACGTAGGGTAAAAATATTTCAAAAAATAATATTGATCAAACATAGGGTTGACAAATGGGTGAGGCAGGTGCGGATATCCCTTCCTCTATCCCCATATCCACCTAATATTTTCATATCCACCATCTACTCACTACCGACAATGGGAAAAAATTTTAAATCCACACACGCTCACACGGATACATTCTCAAATCCATCTCCACCCTCACTACCCAATTAGATACCCACCACCCATCTCATATCTGTCTGTACCCGCCCGTACCCATCCATACCCGTCAATTTGAGATAAGAGAAACAACGATCTTCAATTCTAAAAATGTTTATAAGCTAACATTAGGTTAAATTACAAGTCATATACTATAAAATCTTAAGATTTACAAAATAGTCTATAAAATTATATCTAAATTCATAATGATCCAAAATTTATATGATGAGTAGTTAGTGACATGGCGGATGTGGGGCGGGTAAGGTCTCAAACCCATCACTTACCTACTACCCACGGCAGTTATGACTTTTTACATCTACACCCGTCCACTACCCACTACACTTATACCCATCCCTACCTCAATTGGAGCGGGTACGGGTTCGAAACCCACGAAATTGCACTTGTATGCCATCCCTAATCAAAACGACTATTATTTTATCATATGTCGAAAAATTTTAGTTGTTAAGCTTTGCGTGTTGTATCAATTGATGTGTTTGTTTTTGTATTTGCTTCAATGCCGGTTCTGCATAAAACTAACATCAAGAAAGAAAAGGCTATAAATCCCAGTATTCTCAGAGTTATTCCAACTTATTATTGGTTGGAGAAAAAGATGCAATAGCTGTTAAGAGTTCATCATATTCACAAGGATGATTATTCAAACATTTGAACTGATGCATGTACAGAGTATATATTCATTTGAATAATAGGTGTGCCTTATTTACCTATCCTTGACCTTGAGCACTTTCAATGCTAGTGAGTGAATTGTTATGTTGTTCTGTAAAATTTACCTATTCTTCAATATGCATCAATGAAGAACCTTCTGACGGAAACCATACCTGAAGGTCCAAACTCAGCACTCGTTATTCTCTTGTTCCAAAAAGCTTACAATATATGACCTTCCACTCCCAATAGGCTTTCTCCATCGGCAACAGAAGAACCTCTGCCAAGGCCAAGGTTTATATAGCCAATAATTAATCTTTCTTTTTAATAGTCAACCCATGCTTGGTGCCATATAGCCAGTAATTAATCTTTCCTTTTAATAGTCTAAGGTTATTATAAAGTATTGTTTGTTCAAAATATTTCTTAATCATCGATAACGCACGCATCATGCAAATACAATTACTTGAACTAAGACCACTAAAGAGAACAACACTCCATTTAACAACCGCGGCTTGACGAGTTCAACAATTACTTTTTCTTTGTTTGTGGGGGCATGAAAAGTATATTCCAGTGTGGCTGCACAATCCAAAGTTATGCCCTTCTGCTTCAATTATACAAATTAGTTAATTGTTTACATATTCTTTTTCTCTTTTTGAAGCAACCCTCGAATAAGGTTTAGGAATATGAGCCATTTCTTTGAATTGAAGAAGCTTTTTTTTTCTTGCATTTAATTTATAAGAAAAAAGGTTGTTGGTTATATATATGTAGTCATCCTTTGTCTCATTTGCATTACAACAATTGTGTTTGAGCCATGGCTTCCAAGTCGGCTGCAACAATGCTGTTGTTCCTCAATCTGGGGCTTTACATCATTGTAACAATAGTAGCTGCATGGGCAGTGAATCATGCAATTGAAAGAACTCATGAAACAGGTAATTCAAAATTGATTCAATGCTTTTCAACATTATTAAATTTGATGATTTGTTAAACAAATGCTGTATGTGCTTTTGCAGCATCTGTTTTATCAATCCCAGCTCGTATATTCCCCATATTCTTTCCGATGGGAAACATGGCCACCGGTTTCTTCGTCATTTTCTCCCTCGTCGCCGGTGTCGTGGGCGTCTCCACCTCGGTTACCGGCCTCACCAACGTCTTTCAATGGGATGCTCCTAATTTAAATGCAGCAGCTGCTTCATCCCTCCTCACTTGGGCACTCACTTTGCTAGCCATGGGGTTAGTGTCACTTCAACCAAATCTAATCCCTTTTTTCCTTTCATTTTATTTACGTTTCCTCAGGAATCTAAAGTGTAGTTGCAGTCATATTTTCAGTTGTGTTACGTTTATCACGGTTGCGAATATAACATATGTTATTGTTGTCATGAATTCTTTTAAAGGAGTTGATTTCTTAAAAAAATAGAGCTGATTTTTTATTAAGAAACTAGAATAGCAAACAATAGTGGGGACAACGGCGGCTATTACCGTAATTGGTCGTTACTCGTTAAATTACGATCGTGATCCACTACTATTAGTGTGATTCCGTTTCACACTATTATTTTCTACAATAACAGCTTTGAACACCACCGCTATCATTACATAACGAACATTACTTCACTACACGATCGCTATTAAATCCCTGCATGGGTTTGATTTGACCCACTTTTTTTTTATTACAGATTGGCATGCAAAGAGATCAACATTGGGTGGACAGATGCCAATTTGGTAAGCCAAAATTGCATTTTTCAACCCCCAAAAAAATTCATGTAATTCCAAGTTTTATTGAATTTGGCATTGTTGGAATGATATTAATAGATATTTTATTTATATTTTCTATTAATAATTTTTTTAATTTTATAAATTTTTCCGTAACATAAAATCTCATATATTCTTGAATACAGCGGACTTTGGAAGTGCTGACGATAATTGTGAGCGGTACGCAGCTGTTTTGCACGGGTGCTATCCATGCTGGGGCTGAGGATGCTACTCTGAACAGATCACTGCCATCTGCTTCTGCTGGAACTGTTTGAATCAACTGTATATCCAGAACTGCTCACAACTCCACTGCATTTCCAAATTGAGTGTTTCAAATTCAATGTTATTTAAAATCTTCTGAAATTTCGTTTTTCTTTATTTAAAATCTCTTTTATCAGTTCCTATCACTTATGACTATGTTACTTGTTTATTCACCTCATATTATCATTAGAACGCGTGTAAACTACACTTTTAGTACTTCAACTATAATGTTTATTTTATTTTGAATCATCTATCTGATTTTTTAAATCATATACAATGTTTACTTTTGGCTTCATTTAGCCACTTACCGTTAAAAAATTAACGATGATGTTGATGTGTCAGTATAAGACAAAGGCATGTCATCGTTTAAAAACAAAAAAAATATCACGTCATCAGTTCTATTAATTTTTAAAAGTGGGTGATCAAAATGAAATCAAACATAACATTAGGTATAATTTTGTAAATAAAATAGTTGGATGACCAAAACGAAACAAAAGTGATAATTAGGGTACTGAACATGTAGTTTACCCTAGAAGGAATACTAACTAGGCACGACCAAAACTTTTATCATCTGGATAAAATGGTGTTGGATAGACATGTGTTCAACACAAGTCCAGATTTCTTGATTTATTTTTTATATTTAAAGAATTTCGCCTCATGTCTAAATATGTATCGTATTACAATGAATGATACCAAAATTCTAAGTACCGGTGCTGGATATACGGTGTCTTATTCCAGTAAAAATTGGAATTCAGGATTGTCAGCAAGTTCAGTAGTGGGTTTTACATCTGCAAATTCTTGTATTTTCATGGAATCAGTGATGTCCTCCACCAAGAAAGGAATGCTGCGTTCAAATAGGATAAAGCAACAATTAGGGCCCTCAAATTTCAATAAGTTTGATGAACTCATGTTTTTGGTATATTACCTAGAATCCTCATCCAATAAAAAGGAGCTGCCATCATCGTTTTGATCAGAGTCAGCTGTCATAAGAAGTTTCATCTGGGAAATGACCTGTGCAAAAATGAAGAGGTTTGATTAGCATACAAGGAGGGGGGTGTAAAATGTGCATTTTTCACTTAATTTGATGTGGCAGACTTACATCTGTTGAAACACCTTCATTGTTGTTGCCCTCATTGTAAAGGGTACATACTTTATAAAATTGTTGGACACTCAGAATCTGGTGAATTAGGACACAATGATAACGTAAGATACGGCAGACAAGTATCTCCAACGATTTCTGAGCAATATGGATTTATATATAAAACATAGTTTTCACTTTTTGGAGGAAAAATGTTAGATGCCATAAGCATCATCCTAATGGATGTCAGTTGCAGCAGCTCTATCAACTATACTTGCATAATGACCCATTATCAGGGGGTTGCATGAAAAGAGAGAAACAGACTTACAGTGCAGAGGTTATTTGTTATTTCGTCATACGATATTTTCGACTTCTCATGCATAATCTGACAATGCAATATAAAAGAGCACTTGTTCAAACTGGAGAAGAGAAAGAAAACTGAGTAATAAGGACAACATGAACTAAGAGCAACGAATCAGAACTAACAAAATATTAGCAAATAGAAATCAACAAAAAATTGTTATATATCAGGAGATAACCAACAAGATTCAAAATGATCCAAGAAGTCAACAGTTTACTAAAAACTCAATGAACATATTTTATATCCCAAAATAGATATATAATTGTTTGATGATGTTATGATATATGTGTTCTGAGTTGTGGTGGACATTATATATCCTATAATATCGTGTATACATATCAGGTAATAGTCTGTATATATCATATATGAGTTCTATTTTTGGAGGATGTTAGTAACAGACACGTTTACCTAGTTTGATAGAATCAAAATTATGCATACAGGAGACTGTAGATTTACACTAAGGTGTAGTGAACTTATTCTTGATTACTGCAGTATGAGCCCCCAGCATATTAATTTACACTTTATGCTAACAACTCTAGTTTTTTTTTTAACCCCATATTTGCCAAGCCTTGAAATCTAAGAACAGATTATCTGTTGTTGGTTCCACAATGTACAAATACAAATTCCCTTATTTCAAGGTTGAGAAAAGATTTGGGCCAGTTTATATCCTTCTAAAGGCATAACTGCAACTAAATATAACGAATTAAAGTGGCATAACCAGTGAAGGAAGGGAAAAGCAGAACCAGGATTGAACAGTTCTAAGCAATTTCATATATATATATATATATGTACGTACATAAAATAGCATCAAATGAGAGTGACATGCACAAATGGATCAAACCAAAAGAGTATAAGTAATTTAATGCAACAAAATTCTATCCTAGTAATATGAACAACAGAAGAAACATACCAGGAATCCAACTGCTTGCCTTGTGTGCTTTAGTTCATCCCATGATGAGCCAGCATACTGTAGGTAGAGGAATCACCAAAGACAACCGTGAAATCTTAATTCGAAATTTAAAATGCAATAAGTTGTCGCAAGTCCCAACTAAAAACTTCTATTCGATGGCTTGTTCGAACTTCGAGCAATGCGAAAATGACACTTTCAACAGTCATTAGTCAGAACTAAAGAAATTACCTCTTCTTTCGCTTCGGCACACCATTTTTCCAATTCATCTAAGCCAGACTTCAGATATTCCCCATTGCTAAACGTGGAGCACTCTGGATGCTGAAGAAGGCTGTATCATAACATCATAAGGTGTAAATAACACTTACTATCTTATCTAAAATAACAGAAATAGAGATGAAACAGTGGTTTACCTATTAAAGAGCTGTACATTCATATATGCAAAGTTCTGAGTGAAAATCTTCTGAGCAAGTATTGGGGGCACCTAGAAAGAAAATGTACCATAAGCTCGTGGTTCATGAAAAATATGGCAAAAGTCCACTAAAATACTATGAAAACTGAAAACTACGCACAAAATTTTCTTTTAATTTAGCCAGCATCTGGTTCAGGCATTCAATGATGTTCTGCCAGTGACTGGCAGGAGAAGTATCGTCTTCTGATTCTTCAGATATTTTTGAAGCTATAGGTACCTGAAAATATGGAATAATGCATTATCGACATAAGAAATTCCAATTCCAAGATAAAAATAGTTATTTTCATCCATAGAAGCGTAGGAAATTAATCAGGAATGGCATTTTGACTCTGTTATTAACACAACTTCAAATGAAGCAATAGACCAACAGCATCACACACTAGAATAATCCTAAACATTGCACAAATCACAAATGCATGCACCTTAGAGAGCAATTCAAACTACTTATACCGCGCATGATTTCTTATGGCGTGGCATAATCAAGTAAAAGATGGGACATAAGCTTAATAAGTTCAAGAAATTTTCTGTTATTTTTCGTCAAGGAATTTTAGGCTATTTATATACAAGAAATTATCTTATTATTGTGCTTAGAATTTGAAATTACTAGAAATTAGGAAGCAGGAAATCCAGAAATGATACTAAGTAATAAAAGTAAAATAATATCGGCTTATTGGTGCCAGAAAAAAGCCTTCGAACTTCTGGGGGGGGGGGGAAATCACTTAAGGCCCTAAAATAGTTTTGCACCCAATTAAGTCTCATACCTTAGAATATCATCAATCCTTTGGCCCATGTCGTTCGTTAAATTTAATGGGTTTTCTATCAGATGATTCCATATGCTACATCACGGTGTTGTTACATGATATATCTACACATTTTTTATTTTATTTAAAAATTTCTTTAAAATTTCTAAAAAAAAAACTTAAAAATTATAAATAAAATAAATATATATATATATATATATATATATATATATATATATATATATATTTATATAAATTCTGCAAATGCACACGGCAGAATCATAGCGCGGCATGTCACAATAATATCTTAGAAAAAAACTCGTTAAAATTTAATGGTTAAAATTGGTCAAAGTACTTAATTGATTCAATTCCTCTGTTTGAAGATTTAATTAAGCCAAAAAAAGTTCAGAAGCTTAATTTTTTTTTCCTAATGTTTAAGGACTTCAGACACCCTTGATAAACTAGAAATTGATAGACTATCAACACTTCCTCTCCGGCTGATGAATAGATATTCATCATTCCTAACTTCCCTACTAGTACTGCAGAACTTGGTCTAGGCATCCTCTTACATCTATATGTTGTTTGCTAGTAACATAGGTCAAGCAAATTTTCCCTTTCTATTTTCTTTGATCTCAACCTATTTAAAGACTGCTTTTCCTCTTTTTAGTCGAATAGAAAATTCAGTGAAATATTCCTTTCCACTGAAATTTACATGGCGTCGACACACCTCCTCCTCGAAAGTTAATGACGGATTCCAGCACCACTCATCAACAACACGCCCATGCTTATCACCACTCACAAACTCAATGACCACAATTATTTTCAGTGATCATAATTTGTTCTTATGCATATTTCCATTAGAGGCAAGGATAATTCTCTCACCCTGAAGGTTTCTATCCTAGAAACAATTGGTCTCAAGCATGGTTTCAAATTGCGATCGCGTTTTTGCTCATTTCGGGAATACCGTTATTGTGGCCATCGCGGGTGCTATTGCGGCCGTCGCGGGTGCTATTGCGGCCGTCGCAGGCACTATTGCGGGTGTAGCTGGAAATTCGGACGGCGGCCAAACCGCAATTTTGTGAACGAAATCACATTTTCAGAACTTGATTTGAAACCCTGGTCAAGTATCGTACGTGGAAGATTGAAAACCACAAGATCAAGGAAACATCACAATGTATATACCACAAATATCAAAAAGAAGTAAATTCCGGGAAGTCATCAGAGAGGATATTGTTATAGTTTAATATGTATGGAGCAACCAATAGTAAAAGCTGTGATGTTCAGAAGCATAATTTAAACGTGCAGCACCAGAAAATAAGCTACAATTTTGAAAATATATGTGATAGCAAGTTGAAGTTAATTAATACTACGACATTCAGTTTCAGTTTATTACAAGACAGCAGGCAGTGTTAAAGTTCAAGGAAATAAGCACATCAAACTTCTAATGCGCAAGGCACTATTAAAGGCAAAGAGATGGTTCAGAAAATAAGCCTCAGAAATACCACAATGCTTTCTCCTGTATATATCGACTGACATAATTTTGAAAGTTGAAAAAAAAAAATAGATCTCTGGGAAGATTCAGTGACTGAAAAGCATAGCTCGTTATACCTGAATACAATTAGAAATATGCGATGACAAGTCCTTTTTCAGGTTGTCCCTAATGATTCCAAAGATCTTTTCTACATATGCTGTGAGCTGCTGCTTAAAAAGAAGAGCTGGATACTTGGCCTCAACCAGTTGAATTACACCAACTGGAAGATTGGTAGAAGATGAGCGAAAACTCTGAGAAAGAACATCATATCACAAAATTTTGAATCATAAGCTCTAGACATTCAACAAAACGTTGATAACGATCGTAACTCAATATTTTAAAAGAAGAAACATAATTCTTTTGTTCTTTCCTTCTTTCTTTTTCTTGTGATATTAAAGAAGAGACCATAGATATTTAAATTACGAGTACTACATGCAAACAAATTAGGCACGTTGAAAATGAATTATCTTAATACTTGGGTCATCCTTGAAAATATTGATGTTGCAGCAGGTTTGTCTGCACCAGAGGATTTCAAACTACGCTGAAGCAAAAACAACAATGAACAGGTGTTCGATAGCCAATATGCCATGTGATCATTGGTGTCCTGCTCCTGAAAAATAGCACATGAAATCATGAATGTTATTTTTGATTTATTCACTCATCTTTTCTGTTGCTTAATAAACCTTCCCATTCAGTGAAACGTAACTGAAGAACCATTTAAGTAATCTCTGATACAAGTCCCTAACAAAGAGACAATTCCATATTACCCATTTAAAAATGTTCTGACATAAGTGCGTACCAAAGAGAATAGTAAACTTCCATTCAGCTTTTTGAAATGAACAAGTTACCTCTAGTGCAGAGCCAATCATCTCAATAAGACGGTCAAATATACTTGTCTTTTCTGCTTCAAATGATTTCCAATGGAGAAGGCATTTGTATACTGTAAATGCTGCTACAGGCTTTTCTTGACTGAATCCAAGATTTTGTGACACACATGCGAGTAGATTATCTACATTTTCCTGTGAATAAGTGATAAATTTAGTCCCTAGAAACTTCATGTGATACAAATACTTGAACAAAAAGAATAGAAAAGAGAAAACCATATTATCCGCGTTCATACTTTTTGCTTTCCTGTTTTACTATCTTCTCTGCCAAAACTTATTTTTGAAGAACCGGTATTCACTTGTGCCTATCATAAAGAATTTTCCATCTCAAGATGAAGGAATCATCAAAGAACCAAGTATGCTCATATATCAGACAACTGTTGGTAATAGGAAGTTATACAGTCTCTCGTTCTTCACTTACCTGTTGATCATTTTCTCCAGGCTGCAAAGTGAAGATAAAGTACAACAAGAAAATAAGAAACATGAAAAAAAAATCAGAACCAGAAAAAAACCCTAAAGGAAAAAAAGAATGTTTTAAACATAGCTTACTGAAGATGCAGCAGCTAGCTCCGGCATTTTAGAACTAGATGCACTCATCAATGCTTGCTTTCGCAGAACCTGGTCATCAGTTTCTATGTCCAAAATCTTCTCTTCAAGCCTGTTAAAAGATACAGAATAATTCAGAGAAAAGAAAAGCAGCTGCAGTCAAAGAATGACAAACCTTTTTGACAAACATTCATACTGAGATAAACGTTAAACATATAACCTCTGCATTGCTGTTTTTAGCTTAATTATCTTTGACTCTGCCTCCATTGCCTGCTTGCTTGATTCTTCGTATTTCTTCTCTGTTTCACCAATTTTCTGTTCTAATGAACTTACCAGAGTCTGTAAAGACATTGTCGCAAACAAGATTTCAAGAAACATAAATGCAGAATTACCAATTTTAAAAATGACATCAAGGAAACTTTTAGTCAAACAATATGTCTAACAACACCTTCAACTGTTCATTTTCTGCAGTAAGTTTCTTCATCAATTCATCATTAATAACTGGGACCTCCTGAGTCCCAGCAACTTGTTCAGCAGTGCTGCTTGCAGATTCACCTTCCTTGGTTGGCAATTCTTTTCTTTCCTGAAAATGAAGTTGCATAAAGGAAGCCTTTAGTCAAACCTAAGGTTTTATTCAGAAGCAACAAATGCCTAACAATACTTTCAGCCCTTCATTTTCTGCAGCAGTTTTATTCATCGATTCATCATTAGTAACAGAGACCTCCTGAGTCGCAGGAAATTGATCAGAAATGTTTTTTACCGTTTGCATTTCCTTTGTTTGCTGCAACTCAACTTGTGTCTTCTCCAAAGCAGATTGTAACCTTGCAATTTCTTGATTTTTGGATTCCTCAAGGTCAGCCTGCCCTAATAATCAATCAGTTAGAAGAAAAAAGGAAAAAAATGCAGTAATTCTACTACTAGTTGTTATCCTTTCTTGCATGTTTTAATAAAAAAAAATTAAGGACAAATTCAATAACTTGTACGTAGGCGTTAATGGTAGCCTTCTAATAATACCAAGAAAATGCATCTGCTATCATAGACCTATCAGCAAACCAAAGGATACTGTAATTTAGTCCGGAAAAGAGAAAAAAATCACCCAGACAATTAACAGAATGGAAAGAAGCAGACATTTTCCATAAAGAAATTAACTTAATAGTTTTATCACAAGTTTTTTTTACCAAAAATATATTAAAGATATTATTGAATTGACAGATAATCTTACATCTATACGGAAAATCTATAATCCCATCTACTTCTTATAATGCCATTACTATTATCATGGAAAGACCTACCCTCAATTGTTTCTCTGTCTGTAAGCTGCTTGTAAGTTCTTTAACTTGCTGTTCCAGCTTTTCATTGGCTTCTTGGACTTCCCCAGTTTCCTTGGCAGCCTGCATCTTAAGTTCTTTAACTTGCTGTTCCAGCTTTTCCTTGGCTTCTTGGAATGCACCAGTGTCCTTGGCAGCCTTCAACTTAAGTTCTTTAACTTCCTGTTCCAGCCTTTCCTTGGCTTCTTGGAGTGCACCAGTTTCCTTGGCAGCCTGCAGACAGACAGGGTAATCAATGTACTATCAACTGATGCAAGCAACATAAGCACAAACGATGGCATTATTATCCCATTCAGTGGCGGGTGCAAAGCACATCTAGTGCCCACCTTGGAATCCAAATTTCTTTATTTTAGTTGTCCATTTTACCATGGGTGCTCACCCTGAAATTTTATTTGTGCCCACCCCAAATGAAAATTTTCAATAATTAATTTGTGGGTGTCCACTCTCAAAAATATTTATGGATCCGCCACTGATCCCATTTCTCAATAGATGGGTGTTAGTAGGGGTTGGCTCCAGATATTCCTTTGTTCTTCTATAATTAATATTCTCATGGCTATAATGTACTTTAGGGATATCATCATCTATGCAGAAATTGTGTAGAAAAAAAAATGTTTTTTAGCACATACCAGTAAAAGAGAAGATCACGACCTGCAACTAATTCAATGAATAAAAGAAATAGAGAAATCACAAAATCACCATTCTTAGCTGATGTAATTCTCCACATGCAATGCTTGCTCTCACGGCACATTGTATGACAAGTGTTGCTTCCTTTACCCCACGGTAACGACTGTTGGCCAATTTTCGTCGACATTGACTCTGTAGCAGACAAGAACTCACGTGACTTCAGAATGCGGATATTATAACAAAAATAACAACTGGGAATTACCAATCAGAACCAATATTTATTGCAACACAACTAGGCCATTTTCATTCATCGGAAAAATTTGAACCTAGAACCTCCTGTACAATCCAAGTCTTTACAACCTAGGTCACACCAGAGACTATTTCGGATCTTTATTACCAATCAGAGCTCATACCTTTTGATTTTGTTTTACAGGAAAAAATCTAGGCCCTAAATGAGAATGAACTCAGTAGTCAGTACAAATTGATCTAAAATGAAGGAAATGCTTAACCCCAGTAAACGTGTTCTGTACAACAAAAATACTATTTCTAAAGCCTAGTAAACAGTTACACGCGGTTGAATTCTTAGAAAGATAAAGAGTAAAACAGGAAATAAAAAGAAAACTAGCAGCTATTGATGTTTCATTGATTAAAATAGGTTTATAGTCTTTACCTGAATTACAATTGCAGCCACAGTCTGCTTCCTGAACCGAAGCTCATTACGGGAACTCAGCGCACGAAAACCTGCCTGAATGGAAACGGCTGAGAACCACAAATTCTTGTATGCTTTCCTTTTTATAAACCTGCGTGTATATTTTTGAATATTCAGACTAGCAGATTCTCTTCTCATTCCCTCATATAGATGGCGCCCCAGTTGTCCTGCGAGTAGGTTAGAGAAAACAACAGGGAAAGTAAATTAGACGATAAATATACAGAAGCAATTCCATCTGATGAAACAATCACAACTGCACTTTTATGAAACTCTTGTTACCCCTACAGAAAGCTTGAACTTGTATGGAAGATGATCGCAATGAGACAAACTTTTTGCGGCACATATATGTACAGCATTTTCTCTGTATTTTCGTTGCTGATCTTCCCAAAATCTCAGCTCGTTGACCATCTAGTTCGGCCATCTGACCAGCTCTAAGAAAAACTTTTGTTTTACCAATCTGCAACCACATAAAGTTAGTAAGTATAGAATTAAATGGTACATGAACATTGTGGCAGTAACAAATCAAATTACACTAAATATGAAAACTGATGCAATCGGACAGCAAGCAAGAGATGCGGAATGTGGACATGCATGATATATAGAAACTGCTTCAGAAATAAATATATTGACAAAATCCATCTCGAAGTTTACTTTTAAGAAAGATTATAAATACAAGATGTACCTGATAACCACCGAGGTTACTCTTCTCCAGAATCTTTTTGCAAGCAGCGATCTTATCACTGCTACCACAGAATAAGTAACACACACGTAACTCATGAATTCTAGTTACATAATTCTAAAGAACAAAAGGTAATAATTTTTAACTGCAAGATACGATAATGGAAAAGCTACCTCTTGCTTCGAACCTCTGGAGCCAATATGGCAAATCGTTCTGTAAATTCATGAAACTGCTTTCGGGAGGGAAATCCAGCACAACTAATTCTAATTGCCTCCATCACTCCCTAGAGTCAAACATGTATCGAAACCATCATAAATGGACTTACAAACAGGCTTCTTACCATCAAAAGTAAGTATTGACCAAAACTTACCCCACATCGAAGTTGTTGTAGTACATTATTGTTTTCAAATATTGCTGGCTTAAGAACATTATTAGGCTTTACACAACGAACATAGTGTGGTTCAGTGGAATTCAATGTTTCGAGCAAAGATTGGAGTTGTTGCTGTGTAAAGCACATTGTAGTATGCGTCAAAATGAAAGAAATAAAGGAAGAATATAATCTGCCTTTAACACACACACTAAAGCAGAAACAGACCTTGAAGGCAGAACCTATTGAAGAAAACTTCGATGATTTGGAAGATTCCTCAGGTAAAGGAGGAAACAAGCTTGAAACAAAAGAGCACTTTGAAGCAGCCAGTAAGGCTTGATGCTCTGGAACAACATAATCTTTGTTCTTGTCCAGGAAGAGGTCGGTCTGGTATGTCACCTATAGCAGAAATTCTTTCACACTGAATATTAAGCTGATTTAACGGAAGTACATATGAGAATCACAGTTGGACTGTTTCTAGTGAAGAATGAGACCAATTTATATTTATTTAAGTCCAATGTAACCAATTTAAATACTTACAGAGCAGGAAAAAAAATACCAGTTTCAGTTCTTTAGCTTTTGTTCAGTTTCCGGAAGGAGATTCCACATTTATTAAACATGGATTCTTACACATAATTTGAGTAGAGTTAGATAATAGGGTTTAAATTTTAATCAATTTAGACATGTGTTAGCTGTCAAGTTTAACGCACTGACATTTTTATCTTGCTATTTAAGTGCCTCTGAAAGGATGTCTTGGCATAACAAAGATACTTACATCACCAGCATAATGACAAATGGTGAAGTCAGTGCGTGACAACTTAGGCTTACTGAAGCGTTTATTGTCTTTAAAAGTCTGATAAAGCTTTTGAGCAAACGTCTCATGCGTTGATCTGGGAAACATGCTATGGAAATAAAAGAAAGTTATTGTCACAATTTCACAGGGTGATTGAAGCCAAAGAAATTAAACTAGCAACTCCAAGTTTATTTCTTAAAATAAGAAAAACGGTGATTATCATTAATATGTATTCTAATACCTACCAAGCCTCGTCAAGAAGAGCTATGATGCCACCAGGTTTCTGTAAGCAGAAAAGTAAACATTAGTAGATAAAAGTTCTAAATTGAAAGCTCTTCTCTATTTTCTACAATTATCAATGCATCCCAATGCGTACATAAAGAAAGTACTAATTGTGGCCATTCAATCATTGTCAAAACTTCATAAAAGAACACTCACTTGACTTGAAAAAAAAATGCACTTTACATCCAAAAATCATAAGTTTGCGGATCAAAATCAACTAATTAAATACACCATAGTATGAAATAAACAAAGATCAAGAACTAAATGCACAAATTTATTCAGCAATTTATTTTTATTATTCATGACAGAAAACACAGACGTATTCCACACGAACACAAAATATTATAGCAGAAGTTGGATTTCTGGTGAAAAATTAAATTGAAATGGTAGAAGTGGTGACATACCTTCTCAATAAGATCAAGAATATCTTGATTATCAACAAATTCTATATAACTCCAGTCAATTTTTTCTCTTTCATATTCCTCCTGCTCCATCTTAAAAACATGCTGGCAAATGACAACATCAGTCATGTTAAGCATAGTTTTATAAGCTTAAAAGATGGAAATTCCTAAAGACACTAGCAACAATATAATGCATAAACCTGATTAAAATGCTGTTGTAGCTTTTCATTTGTCAAATTGATACAGAATTGCTCAAAACTGCATGCGATGAAAATTTAAAAATCATGTAAGTGATAACAGTGTCAAACTAAGAAATATGGTAAACGGTTGTGCACATTGTATAGCTTGAAAATAGACAGACCATGCAGGCATAATGAGCTTCAAAATTCATGAAACGCTGCAATCATCCAAAAAGAAAAGTAAAAGGTAGTTGTCACACTAGCCAAGACCCACAGAGTTAATTAAAAATAGAGACCAGCCAAGACCCCCAGAGTTAATTAAAAATAGAGACCAGCATAATGCGTTAAGAATATCAACGGATCATGGTCTTAAAATCTCAATTTCCCCTAAATAGACATCCCACTCATGAAAAAGATACAGGGATGTCACAAAAAAATGATTTACCTAAATGACGAAAACAAAGCATACCGGTTAAGCACCTGTTTGTCTTGAAACTCTCAAATCCATAAATATCAAGAACACCGATCAAGAATTTTGAGTTCATATCCTGACCAATAGCAACATTTATCTTCTCCACAAGCCTGAGGAAACCAGAGTGCAAAATGTTAAGAGAAAAACTACAGATACGATGTGTTCAGTCTGCCACTCTCCGGAATGAATCTCTTTGGTAGACTGAAAGTTACCAGTCAAATAATTTTGAATAAACAATTTTGGCCAAAGCATCTCTACTGAGAGCTGCAGCATCTGGATCCAGCGCTTTTGTAATGGTCTCATCACGAGTGACAAAAACACGTTTACATAAGGACTCTTCAAGAGCCTTCTCATCACACCTAAACAACAAAGGCATGTTAGAGTTTTTCCATTAACCTCTATACATAAGGATGAAGACATAGATGTTTAAGGATAACAGTAGTAATAAAAAATTACATGAAAAGTTCTGAAGCAGTTTTTAGATGGGACCGAGATTTATCATCCTTGGGTTTAGAAGAATCTATTTCTTCTCCCTTAGCAAACTCAACATTTCCTAAATGTAGAATTCCAGCCACAACTCGAAATATTGCATCCTGAGATAATACCACTCAGGAAGATATTTAAAAGTAAAATAAGAATGAAGTTAAGTAACTCCAACTAAACTAATTATCAAGACACGTTACCTGCTCTTCCTGATTCATCCCAACCACATCCATAGCTCTCCTAGTTGCAAGATACTCTTCAGCATCATTTATAGCATCTAGCTCAATGCAATTTGACTGGTTTAAGTAATGAAAAGTTTTTGGATTTCCCAACTTGTACTTGTCAACATCCTGGTAACATGCATTATTAATAAAACCAGAAAAGGCTTAAATGCCTCTTGGGTAACAAAAAACCAATAAACATGGGCAAAAATGAAGACTTGATACGACACTTTTATCACAAAAGCCCAAATAGTTTTATTCTCATACTGCATTAGCCATATTTGCGAATCTAGAACATATTTTGATATTGAAAGAAATCTTAAAATAATCACAATTTGATAACCCAGCCCTCAGAGCTTTAAGTGCTGGAAGCTAAGTTACTAGAGACCTAATTTAAGCAGCTTTAAGACCGTCCCTACACTTCTACGCTACATTTCCGTTGAAAAGAATAATCAAATTCAATTATTGAGGAATCAATTGTTCAAAGGAAAACCATATCTAAATGAACTGAAAAAGCATAAGCGAGAACAGGACAAATGCAGAAAACCCAGAGGAGACACCATTACCTCCTTTGGTGCAGCACAAAGCATATAAAAGCAATGATAATTTCTCTCTGGATCAGACACTTGGCAAACACGAGATCGTTCTAGCAAATAAGTTCTTATTGCAGCTCCAGAAATTCTTCCCCTATGATCAAACTGAAGTTCCACAAACTTGCCAAAGCGGCTGCAATTTTATCATGTTCAATCAGGGGCTGTCTTTCATCATTTAAAACAAGACCCTCAAAGTAAAATTCCTCAATGTATGAGGAATAAACCAAATTTCTTAATATAGATTTCCAACCTTGAATTATTGTTTCTGACAGTCTTCGCATTGCCGAAAGCTTCTAGAACAGGATTAGACTACAAATACATTAAGCAAAAAACAAATTAGGAAAAAAAATATTTTTCTTTCTTTTATTCAATCAACCGTGTTTTCCAGGGAAAAAGGGGGGGCGCTTACATCCAAAAATGCAATATCAAATTCGTCAATCTCACATATTACAAAACTGAAAGTTAAGGAGTTAGAACTACCTCTAAGACCTTCTGCTCCACAGACCGCTCCTCTGAATTGTCAACTCTACCTCCCATATAGGCTAGATAGCGCATAAGCATCTTTGTACTCTCTGTTTTACCAGCTCCACTTTCACCACTTACCAAAATTGCTTGGCTAATTGATTCATTTATCATCTGTCTGTTCACAACATTTATTAAATCAACGATGTGCATCAAGAATGTAGAAGAATTTTATGATTGATAAGACTACCTATAGGCAGAATCTGCAACAGCAAATGGATGTGGGCTGAGCTCACCCAGAGCTACCCCTTTGTACTTTTGCATCACCTGAAGGTTGTATAAATGTGGCAGCCTTTGAAAAGGATTTACAGCAATCAATATGCTTCCTGTGTAGGTCTGGAATAAACACCAGAACATTTAGCTGCTCACAACAATACATTCCTCTAGAAAACATAAAACAGCCCTAGATCATATTAAAGCAACACACTGACACAGCTATCATAAACCATACTAAAGGGCTGCAACAATGAAACAAGGTATCAGATTAGTACAAAACCATAAAGTCAAATAAATCAAGCAATATGAGAAATATGCTGGAACAGGTAATGTGAGTAGCCCTGCCTACTTCAAACCAAATTTAAAAATGAAAATGGATACAAACCGGCTGGTAATACTTACATATATTTCATTAATATCGTATCGACATTTTAAATTCTGCAAAACCCCAGGTTCATGCAAATATGCTAGCTTTGTCATATCATCAACACCAGTTGGAGGAAATTCAGGGTCCTTGGGATGGGCACTAGATGTGTTGGCCACAATCTACATAACAATATAGGAAACAAAAGCCACAAATCTTTGAAACAATAATCTCATAACTAAAAAAATGACTAAATAAAGGAAAGTGTTCTTTAGAACTAGAATATACAGTGAAGGAAAATTAGAGTTGAACAGATGACAGGAGCTGTTAGATGAAGATATGATACATGTTCATAATCTAAACACTATATACTGTACTGCTGAAAGGTCTATATAGAACAGATATAAAAAATTCATGAGAATAAGAACTCACTGTCTTATTTGATGTACACTTTACTTTAATCTCGTCCCCATTAATGTCTAACACTTCCCCATCTATCCAAGCATCATCTGGATCCGCCACCCAAACTTCAGAACCAACCATAAAAGCGGACATAGCAGCCTGCAAGGCCATGTCAAGTCATCAGCATACTGATTTGGAAAATGGAAAATATAAAAGAGTATGAAACATAAAAATAAGTTGTATATATGCAAATTACAGCAAATAGGTTAGTGCATTCTGTAACAACCTGGAAGTCACATCGGAGAGACTAAGAGAACTTTTATTTTATGCATCTCACTTTAAATTTCTCTCAAACAATTTTCTCACATTCATCCATTTGAATTTGAGACTTGGAAATATGAAATTCAATGCACAAAAGACCACTCTCGACAAAAGAACAGGGCTAAATATGTGAACAGCTATCCCCTTCTGAGCTGCCATTAGTTTTAGTAACCTAGCTACGTCCCAAAGGCTAGTAAACAATGTTAACATGGCTTTTTCAGTTCAAGCAGGGGTGGACCGAGGGGGGTGGCTGGGGACAATTGCCCCTTGAAATTTTCAATTTCTCCTATATTTCAGATTTTTTTGTGTACTTTTTGTTGATAATCGTTTTCGCCCCCTAAAACTTTTATAAGTTCGCTCCCCTCTAAAATTTATAAGTTCGCCCCTAGCATAAAATTTTGTGGTTGTCTCTAAGTCCAAGTGGTGTCCCTTTGGAGTGCTCCGCATGGGCACATTAAGCAAATTATAGCAAAGCTAGTCGTCAGTAATTAATTACAAATAACAATGTCAAGGTTACTATCTATTAAGAATCTTGTCGACCAAGAAAAAGAGAAATGCAGCTCTACTGCTAGAAACTGGAATATTTACTTGAACACAATCAATAATCTCTTCATAGGACGTGCCCGTAATGAACGTTTTACAAAATAAATAGCATAAAATATAATTTAAATATAAATAATTTGCATGTGAAAATAAATCAAAAACGACATTCAGGAAAAAAGTGATAATAAATAATGTTTATTAATTTTAATTTTGATTAGCTCATTGGATTGAAGATGCCTCTTCATTCACGAAAAGAGAGTCCACAATCCAAATCTTCAAAAAAAAATCACAATCCAAAGAACAGGCAACGATATTCAGGAAAAGACTAACAATCATGAAAAAACAAATAAACTTGCAAGGGAAAGAAATCCAGACCATTGTTTATGATTCGATTCGGATCCAACGCAGAGATAATAAACACTAGATCGTTCCTCCACCAAATGCGATGCGAATTGCCATCCAAACAAAAGAAAAATGTTTACCTCCAAATCTCAGCCTCTAATAATAACAAAAAAAACATGACTATTACTCGCATCTAAGCCATCCAAATCTCTCTATAACTGCAAAAACTTCGTTATCGGATTATCCTTTCGTTTAGTTTTTTTTTTACGGAATCGAAGGGCCGAGGAAGATCTAATGTAACATTGAAGGAAAGTGTAAATGCTATTAAAAAAAAGATGGTTAAGCCTCTTCTTTTAGCCGACGTAGCGAATCCGAATAAAAACAAGCATCCGCCTCTGCATATTTCTTTTGTTTTCTCGCTGGGCGTTCCTTATTATTGTTTTGTTTTCTTCTACCTCAACGTCGTGGAGGCTCGAACAAAAAGATACTACGGATTTCCTAATTTGTCATTTAAGTTTGGAGGATATTTGGCATTATTAAAACGTTGTAGTTTCTGTTTCGACGGCCGTGATTACACTTCCGATCTGATCTAATTGCGGATTGTTTGGAAACCGTAGGCTTAATTTACTACCACCAACTAACTTCCCCTTTTTAGCCCAACTATATTTTCCTTTTTCTTTTACAATTGCTAAAAAAGGAAATGATTAAGCCACTCGTACGAATTATGTTCATCTGCGCGCTTCAAATTTTATTGGATAAACTACACGGCTCATCCTTTATGTTTTTTGTTCATTCAGTTTTAGTTATTGATACAAAAAGGATCGATTTTAACCCTTTACATTATCGATTTAATAGGTTATAAAAAATATCGATTTAATATATTTTGATCTCTCGGCCATTATCTCTTGTTATCCCAAAAACGAAAGTTTGATTTGATATTTTTAAAAAATCACGTGTTTTAAGATCTTCTTATTCTTGTTCTTCTTCTTATTTTAGGAGAGAAAAAATTAAATAAATTTTAAGTCTCACGTGTATTTCAGCTTGGTCACTTTGAATGGTTTTTATTTTATTTTTCTATTTGTATCCTTCTTCATGTTTTAAGATAAATGAGTGATAGGGTTTTTAATCAAGCATATATATAATACAAAATAAATAGTTTTTATGTATAACGTGTATCACAGTTGGATCACTTAATTGGTTTTTATTTTATTTTTAATTGTTCTTTCAGACTTTTGTGATTGGTTAACGGGAGCTAACAGTTGAGGAATAAAATTAAAAGAATCGATAACATAAGGGACCGGAATTATTTTTTTAACCAATGACCAAAATTGAATGGACCAAAAATATAAAGGACTGCCTGTGTAGTTTACCCAATTTTGTTTATTTATAGGAGGGGAATTGTTCCGTATCAAGTGGTAAACAATTTGATATCGCTTAAGTAAGGTCTTAGGTTCGAGTCTTTGTGTATGCAAAAAATCCTCGTCAGAAGACTCATCCACCAAAATTATATGTGCGACCCGAATCGGTCCAGATTAATAAGAACAAAGTTTAGAACCGGAAGGCAAAAAAAAATTTAAGGTAATGTTTTTTTTCCTATTATATCATATGTTTAGTTACGCTTTCCATATTGTTTGGATTGTATACTCCATGTTAAGACATTATGAGAAGCGCAGGATGAGCAAAATTCGACGAAAATTATTTTGACTTCACTCAATTAAAAAACAATTATCGGAATTAATTTCAAGTCATAATTTTATAAACTTAACTCGAAATTTTTTAAATACGAGTCAAGTTATAAAATAAAACTCAAATAAATTATATAAGTCAAACTTTTTAATAATTAGTGAATTTGTATATATATTGTATATGGTAGTAAAAAATCATTTAAATTAGAATAAAATAGTATCATAATATTATAAAATATTTATAATTGAATTTAAACAGAAAGTTGAACAACTTAATTTGATTTAATTCAATTAAAAAATCAAATAAAATTTGAATAGTAAAATAAAATTCGTCAATTCGAATAACACAAAATTTAACTCAATTCAATCAAACGCTCACCCATATATACATGAAAATACATCTTGACAATAGTTAAAGCGAGTACTTCAAAACAACTCTACCAAATCTTTCTCAAAATTCTCCAAACTCGCAAGAACTCCATTAGCGCCTCTCGACATCATTCTTTGGTTTAAGTCTCCTTCAAACATCAATCCAAAATTTGCATTAAAAAATCGACGTAATTTGTGAGAATAAATAAAAACCCTTATCATTCCGATCGAACTCTAGCACCGACCATCGGAGTAGGTTTGAAGTATCACATCGGCCTCCGAAAATGACCTCTAATCTGACCAGCCAATCACACAGGAGAGGATGATTTAAAGGAAGATATATTGGCAACCAAAACAAATTTATACGTTTTAGAAGCGACAATCCATTGATAACTGTTGTAGAGAAACTAATATAAACTATAAGCACACATGGCTTCACTGAGATCTCAATATCATCATCATCATCAGATAATACATCAGCTTTCTCATTTAAGTAAATATACTTCATACCATGTAGGGGAGTTTTCGACGTGTAGAGGTTTACTCACGGGTAAGCATTTGATCGATATCGCCCTTCTGGTTGTAAGCGTCAACAAGTTTCTTCGCGTATGAAGGAATATGCCTATCAGCTCTGTTGAAAATTGATAAATTTCCACCGAAAGTTGGAATTGGAAAAATCAATTCCACCTAAAACTTTGAAAAAGGGAATGGTAGGCATGAATTAGGTGTTGAATATTTTGAATGGAAAAATTAATTTTAGTCATTAGACTTTAGAGTATTTAGAAGATTAGTCCTTAAGCTTTAACTATAAATACCCTAGCTCATTTAGCTTCAAAACCATCCCAAAGCATTCTATCTTTCTTCCAATATTAGAGAGAATTTAGAGAGTTTCTTGAGAGTTGTTTTCCCCTTTTTATCAAGAGAGAATTATCATTGTTTTCTCCTTGATAGATCGGAGAGAGGTTGTAATTCCTATTTTTCTCATAATGAAATTCTTCTACCGTTGCCCGTGGTTTTTACCCTATATTATTTAGGGGTTTTCCACGTAAATTTTATGTCTCTTTTATCTTCAATTTTTATTTTCTCAAATTATCAGTTGCATTTTTGCTCTATCCGATAGCCATCTTCCGTAACAATTGGTATCCGAGCCAGATTTGAGTGTGTAATATCTGTTTATTGTCTTTGTGGTTGCCACCAAAAGGTGGATCCTCCAACATAAGAAAGTAAGAAAGTATTACCCATTCTTTGAAGGTTCCAGAGAACTATTCACGATAGTGAAATAGTGGGAGCTATCCGTAAAAGAAGCTATGGCAACGAAATTTGATATTGAAAAATTCAATGGGAAAAATTTCTCATTGTGAAAATTGAAGATGAAGATCATCCTGAGGAAAGACGGTCGTATAGCAGCTATCAGTGAAAGGCCTGTGGATTTCACAGATGACAACAAATGAATTGAAATGGACGGGAATGCTATAACAAACTTTCTTATAGCATTAGCAGATGAAGTATTGTCAAGCATCGAGGAGAAAAAGATAGCTAAGGAGATATGGGATCATCTCACCAAACTGTACGAGGCCACATCGCTACACAATAAAATTTTCCTTAAGAGAAAATTATACACTCTCCGTATGCCATAATCTTCTTCAGTAACGGAGCACTTAAATACACTGAACACTTTATTTTATCAGCTTACATCTTTAAGCTGTAAAATAGGAGAACAAGAACGTGCTGAACATCTACTTCAAAGTCTACCGGATTCGTATGATCAACTCATCATCAACTTGACAAACAGTAATGTCACCAGTCTAGTCTTCGATGACGTTGTAGCTGTTGTTCTACAAGAAGAAAATCGGCGCAAGAACAAAGAAGACAGACAAGTAAATCTGCAACAAGCAGAAGCATTAACAACGA